GCATTGACTTTCTGGAATGTAGGTTTTTTCTGATCATGGCTAATGGGAGTTTTATATGCTTCCTTGTCAAATTATTCTTCCATTCTTGGGACATTTTCTACTATTCTTTGAACAAGTTTTTTTTTTTTTAAATGTCCTTTGCACTATTCTGATCTTTGATTCTGATTAATCTTTGTTATTCGCCTTTGTATTATCTAACACCTGTTGGATTAATTTTTCATGGTCCTTTGCTATTTTTAAAGTTTTTCATTTGGTGATTGCTAACAGCAAAACTGTCTTCTAGGTCTGATATTTTTCTTCACATTCATTGACTCCACTGTGTATACTCTCAATAGAACTTTGAATTTCCTAAATATGTTTGAATTCGTTTTATGGAATCCAGTTTTTTCCTATTTGGGGATTCACTTTTCTAAGCTCCTCTACTTTATCTTTATCTACTCTAGATCCACTAACCACATATTTCATTATGATCATCATCTCTTCAGTCATTTGTGTAATTATTTGTTTTCTTCCCCTTGAGCCTCATTTACTTTGTTGCTTCCATTGCTACCATTTTAGGAAGTTCACTTGAGTAGCCTTTGATTTCTTCCACATCAACACCTCTTAGGTGTCTTTGGCAAGATGAAGACATGGAGTTGCATCTTGCTTCCTCATCTTCTCATTTTTTATTTTTAAAATTTGTTTTCTGTGCTGCTGCTTATTTGCTTATGGTAGATAGCTTTAAATAGTATCAAGACCTCTTCAGCAAGTTACTTTTTAGAGATGTCTCCTAGGCATTGCTGGCATTTGTGTGTTTCCCAAGATCCTACCTCTTCAAATGATTAGGGATGAGAGGTTGGTGATTGTTTGGCCTAGCACACAGTTATTTGGTACTGAACTATGGTATTATTTAAACCTCCAGACAATTTCAATTGTGGCACACAAGAAAGAATAACTGATCAGAACAACTATGCCACCTTGGCTAAAGTAGTAAATCAGTAATAAAAAATAGCATCAAGCACAGTCTAGAGAATGACAACTGTGGAAACTAATTTGCTACCTTCAACTATAGGTACAAGATTTCTAATTACATTTCAAAATTTAAAACAAATCAGAAAATTATATACAGTAAATATCCATTTAATAGAGTGATTTTATCCTACAGAAAATTTAAAATAGGGGAGAAATAGAAGCAAGGATTAAGGACAAAGGAAGATTAGTGAAACTTCATAAAACTATTCAGTAAGACAAGTGAAAGAAAAGGAAAAAAACCAAAAGAATAAAAATTAGAAACTATGTTCACATTCATGGGGAAAAAAAAAAAGGGAAAAAGAAGGAAAACCAAAGAAATCAAAGCAAAACAAAACAAATTATTTCTCTGATTTCAAGATTGTGGTTATCTTCTAATATCTACAACGTCCAATTTAGAACATGTCTTAGCTATCACTGGTCGAGAAAGGAGGCTGACAGAATTTACATCCATTTTGGATGAGGCCAAGAAACCTGCAGTGGGATTAAGTTAGGGTGATTTTGGTGCTCTCAACATCACTGCAGTTCAGGCTGATCCTCATCTCTTGTGAGGTTATAGCTCAGTTGTTCAGCCCACAATACTCTGAGTGTCTCTTGCTGATCTGATCTCAGCTCCCTGATCCTGGATATCTCCCGCAGATGTCCCTCATCCAGTTACTGTGGAATTCCAATGAGAAACCTGAGATAAAACCAAACTATGGCTTCTCTGAGTATTGGGTTTGGTTAGGTCCTCCCTAAAATGGTATCTGCCTACATACCCTCTCCAAGAAATATTGTGGTCCCTTGGACTGCAGTTACTCACCAGCTATCGTAGCACACAGCATCCAATGCTTCATTCCACTAGTGCATTTTCCCTGCAGGCTTCTGGAGTCACCTGCCCTCACTGTGTCTCTGTAGATTTGACCCTCCTCTCATGCCATAAGCCAGGAGTCAGGGAGCAAGTTAACAGTTTGCTTGCTCCTTTTCCTGCTTTATGGTCTATCTTTTCACTTTCTCTGTAGGCTTCAATTTTTCCTCAGGTTCTTCTTGGGTCCCAGGAGTCCATCTTGTTCCTCTTCTTTCTCAAGTAGCTATTTTTCAATGTCTGTATTCCAAATCTTTTTTTTTTTTTTTTTGCGGAACCGGGGATTGAACTCAGGTCCTTGCACTTGCCAGGGAAGCGCTTATTCCACTGAGCCATCTCCCCGGCCCCTTCCAAATCTTAAAGAGTTTGATTTGTTGCCTTTTACTGTTGCATTACATTCCCTGAAGTACTCAATGAATTTCTACTGAGCTATCTCCTCAGCTATTTTCTTTTTTAAAGATAGTCTATGTAGCTCAGGCTCTACTTGAACTAGTAATCCTCCTCAGCCTCCCAAATGCTGGGAATTAAAGCATGTACCACCATGGCTGGCTTTTATTTTTTTGTAACTAAATTTCATTGTAGTTCCATATTCAATTGCAAAAACTATTACTCCAGTTTGTGCAGCCCCAAGGAAGGGAATACATTCCCTATGTATAAGATGATCATGAGTTCTAAGTTTGCTAGTCTTTTCTCTGCCACAAACTAGCCATACAGCCATAGGGAATTCAATCTCTTCTAATCTCGATTTTCTTAAGCTTCTATATAAATCGAAGATAAGCTCCTTGAGATTCACCACTGTGCAATGTCCCACAAAGAGAACTAGCTTGTAAAATACAAAGGCATGTGAATCTTAAAAAGTGTTTTATTACTGTTATGATTTATGTCTTCATGTCCCCCTAAAGCTTCATGGGGGGAGGTCATTTTAGAGGTGGCTGAATTTAGAGCTTGTGATTGGCTCACTCTTTAGTGCTAAGATTGGGAGTATGAGTACTGCACCTGCCTAGGTTTGTTTCCCTCTCCCTTTTGGGTCTTCTTTCTTTTGCAATATTCTGCTGCCATGATTATGGACTGAAACCTCCACATACTTCAGTTAAATAAACCTTTCTTCCTTTAATTTTGGGTGTTTGATATTGTCTCAGTGATGAGAGAAAAAAGAATACTAAAAAGGTGAAGATCCCAGATAAATTTAAATTGATAATGTTCTGTTGAAAAAAAAAAAGTGGTTTCTCTTGCCATTCATTACTGTTAAGTGTTCTCTTGGTGACAAATTTTTTACATCAGGGTCTGTCTTTAACCATATAAAATATAAACTTCTATGTTTGCATGGTAAAACCTTTGAAATATTTTAGATCACTGTGGAAGGTTATTTGTTTAGTAGATAGCAATAAGACATGAGAAAGATTTACTTTTTATTTCTTCAGATACAATTGAACTTAAAAGTGAATTCAGTGTGTATTTTCTTTTTTTCCAACCCAAATAAAATCCTTTATTAGATACATATTACAAAAATTATTACCTGGTGTTTGGGACAGCAATCTATCTTGTAACTTCCTAATAAAAAGTAGTTTAAAAATACACAATGAAATTTGAGATTGTTTAACCGTTAAGTCATACACACTCTGCATGTCTCAGACTGAGCCATATTATACCTGAAATGTCTAGAAGTTTGTAGTCAAGTTTTAAGGTATAGTCCATACTATGGAAAAATAGAACACTCACTGAATATAAGGTACATGTTCAATTTTACATATCTTTATAAAGTATGAGTAAGATTTCAGTTAACAGAAAGCCAAAGAAGAAATAATTCCAATTAGTGGGTGAAAAAACTATTTATGGGTATACCTTTCAAAATCTTTAAACATGCGATTTCATTTCCCTCTCAGTAACAACTACAAAAAAATAAGCTTTATTATTTAATTTTGAAATGAGGAAACTGCCTTAGCAAAGTTTAAAAGGTTTGCCCAGGGCTGGTGAGATGGCTCAGTGGTCTAAAGCACCTACTTAGAACAAGCTTAGCAAAGCACAGGGACCGCGGTTCAATCCCCCAGCACCACATGCCAGCCAGCCCCGCCCCCTGGTGGGCTGAGCTGGCCACACACACACCACACACACACACAAATAAATAAATAAAAATTAAAAAAAAAATAAAAGGTTTGCCCAAAGGTTGTCAGGTTTAAGTAGTAAAATTAAAATTCAAACTTTGTTTCTGTCATTACATCTACTGTACAAGTAAAACAATACATTTACACTGTACATTTATGTGAACTGGTACAAATAGTTTTTGTTGACCCAGGAGTTAAAAAAAATTGTAAATGCATTCGTGATGAAAATTACTCATGCTTACACAAAACATCAGCGTATTTGAGGATGCTGTATCCCAAACAGAAAGAGAAAGTATTTGGGGGGCTAGGACTCAATGCATACACTTCCAAGGGCGAAGAACGCGTTGGCTGAGCCTATTTTAGTTACACTCCACTCTTTCTTACAGACTCCTGTGGGGTTCAATTTACAGACGAAGGCAATTAATTAGAACTGAAATGAAAAGGAGCAAACTTCCCCGGAACACAGAAAGTTTTATTTTTAAAGTTACAAAAACAAAGCCTCACAAGAAGCCGGTACCCGCCAAGGGTACACTTCCGCCGGCGCCCACTTCCCGCGCGGGGCGAGGTCCCCCGCGCCGCGCCCTCCTCCGCGCCCGGCCCTGGACCCCCGCCCTCGCCGCCCCGGGGGCCGCCGGTGACGCAGAGGACGCCGCCCGCGGAACGAAAGGCCCCATGCGTGAGGCGGGGCGGGACGGCGGACGACCCGGGCCGCTACGCCTCGGGGGACTCTGCCCCTTCTGGCCCTCAAAGCCCGCCGCGAACTCCGAGGGGAAACCCGGGCCCGCGGCTTCCGCCCGCCACCGTCCTCTTCAAGGCCCCTCGGGTCTGGGCGGCTAACCACACACTCCTTCCTTACCTCTGCCCAGGCCAGCCCGTCCCGAGGGGGGAAGAATGGAGGCCGGGCCTCGACTGGCTTCCGCCCGCTGCCGCTGCCGCCGCCACCGCCCGCAGACCGCTGTCCCGGCCCCGCCCCTGCCCCTCCCCGGGCTCGCGCCTGGCGGGCGGGGCCGAGCCGCGGGCTGCGGCGGTGCGCATGCGCGCCGAGGGCGGAGCCCAAAACCGGAAACTTAGACAAAGTTCGGAGTCCCGCCCCCGCCCGCGCCTTGCCGTCTGGCCCTACCGACCCTCGCTGCGCTGCCCCTGGCCCTCGCGTTGGCCCGGCCCTCGGGTGTACTATGTCTGGCTCTTCCAGCGTCGCCGCCATGAAGAAAGTGGTTCAGCAGCTCCGGCTGGAGGCCGGGCTTAACCGCGTGAAGGTGAGCGGGCGCCGCGGGGGAGGGGAGGGGAGGGGAGGGGAGGCGGCGGCGGGCGGGGAGCGGCGGGCGCCGGCCGACTGGCCCAGCCGGTGGCCTTGGTGGGGGTGGCCAGCCGCCCTTCGGCCCAGAACTTTCCGCCGCGGGCCGCCCCGAGCGCTGAAGGGCGGCCGGGAACCCCGGGCTCCTCCCGCCTGCTCCGGGCCGCGACTCCGCCCGCGGCCGGGCCTGCACCGCTGCTCTGCGCTGCCCCAGTCTCGCCGGGCTCCGCACCCCACTCGGTGCGCTCCGACGTTTGGTTTTTGATTCGGACAAACTTGTTGTTTTGAAATCTTTCCCAAACTTACTCCCATAGTAGAAGATGGTTTTCAGATCTTCCTTCCTACACGGAACACATGTTTGGAAGTGAGTGTGACTTTTTTTATCAGTACAGTATATAGTGATGATACTCCTGTGGGGAGTTGGTACTTGAAACATTTCATTCCGTTTTCATGCCTTGTCTCTTCCTCTCTCCCACTCTCATCTCCACTCCCTTCACATTTGAAAAAGATCTCCCCCTGCTTCCTGATACTTGTTTTGCTCTTTATATAATTTTATATGAGAAGCCATGCAATATTTAAGTTGGTGTGTCTGATTGATTTCACTTAAGGTTATGATCTCAAGGTATATTCATTTCCTACAGATTACTCAAGTTTATCATTCCTTATGCCAGAATAGTACACCATTGTGTAGAAGTCCAGTACCGTGTTTTCTTTAGGCATTCATCTGTTGATGCACGCACGAGGCTGCTTCCAAGCTAGAATGGCCACTAGAGGAATACAAATGAAATCAACACTGAGATTTCATCTTAGTCTAGAAAGAATGGCAGGCATCAGTAAGTCAAATAATAACAAAAGAATAACAAGTTTAGGTTGGTGGGCTACCCCTCTACCTTGTTGGTGAGAATGCAAACTATAGACAGCCGCTATGGAAAATCAGTATGGATATTGCTCGAAAAACTAAAAGTAGGAATTCCACCTGGCCCACCTAGACCCCTTCTAGAGATCTTCCTGAAAGAATTAAAGACATATTACAGTGGAAATGAATTCTTGCGTAATTTAAGTAATGGATTAAAGAAACATTTATTTTGCCAGAATGTTTCCGGAGTGTCAGATTACCGCTCTTACCTCATAGCTTCAACAAAGCATTCATTTTATCCTTGTTGGACACTGTTTGCCTAGACTGACCTTGGGATAGCTGGTGGTTCCTGCCTAACAATGATTAGTTTTGGCTAGTATTGGCTCCTCTTTATTTTGTCTTGTGGTTATTAGCATAACCAAATTGAAACATTTTGTATTGTCTGACAACTTGATACTCAAGTACTGTTCCAAGCGTGTATTTTAAAAATCTTGATAAAGTTGAAATCATTTATTTCTTAACTTAAATTTTCATTCATGTGTGGGACTATAACGGATTGAAGTGAGCCAGGAAAAGGGGGCGGGGTGGGCTAGTAAAAGCAACAGTAAGAAGTAGTTGTTGGCTGTAGTTGCCAAAGAAATGTTGTCCTCAAACTACAAGTGCTTACTAAAAAGAGCTTCGCCTTCAAAGACCTAGTTTTTTCAATTGCTTAGCCTTACCCTGCTGTCTGCCCTGATTTCTCCTGAAGGAGGCTTCTACTTAGGACTATAAAAAAAAAAACACCACCATTGAGCTGGTTTTGGACTTCTCATTTTCTGCCTGATGTTAGGTCTCTGGTGAGGAGACTTGGGATTTTAAATGAATTTTCTGTAGCCATAAAGTGTAGTTAGGTTCCATTTCACAGTGTGCATTTTATTGGTACTTCTGTGCTAGGTACTTTCTGGTGATACTTTAAAACTTAGCACAAGCTAAGAAATTATCACAAGTACTTAACAGACTCCCGTAAGTCAGAATATTTGAGAAAGGGAAACGATTATGCCACAATTACAGTTTCAGCTTCCTGTTTAGTCATTATCGTGCCTTGGGGGCTATAGTAACTTGTGTCTGTCTCAAGTTTCCCCAACTGTTTGGAATAGTTTTTCTCTGACGTGATTTATCAGGTTAGATCAGTTGAGATCTCTGCTTAAATGTCAGTGTAGGTATCCTCCTCTGGTAACCATTCAATCACCAGTTAACAAATCACTTTTGTTTTTTTTAAACAAATCACTCTTTACTGCAGAGCATCCTGTCTTTTTACTGTCAGGTCCACAACCTATTGTCTTGGTATTAAGGACATGAGTGCCACATAATGGCCTTTGAAAAGTTTGCAGAAAGTAGTCATGTTGGATCCTACCGCATTTTAAACAAACAAGAAATTCTCAGGTACTTTTCTGTATGCTTACTCTGGTTAATGTGAATGAAATCAAGTACTGTACTGTTAGCACAACTGGTACTACCCATCCCCTACTGTAGCTACATTTCCTTTTTAGCGAACAAGGAGTATAGCCATTTGTGAAAGTACTTTTACAGGAGCAGTTAAGCTGTGGCACTCATTCTCCTGGACCATTGTTTAAGCTAAACAGACTCCAGAAGAACTGAGATTCATCTTAGGGTGATGTTATGGTTTGTATTTAGTTGAACCCCCCCCCAAAGCCTTCTGCAGTCTGAGGCAGCTTCTGGAGTTGGTGACTGATTACTGTGGGTGTCTGTGCTGCTCTTGGCCCTGGGGCAGGTAATTTGCATTACAATGTAAGGAGGGGTAAGGGGCTAGCTAGCTGCGGGAGCTGCTGCTACTTCTTTTTACTCTCTGCCCTGTGCTGCTCTGCCTTGGAGCCAGCTGAGTATGGACAGAAACCTCCAGTAAACTGTGAGCTAAATAAACCTTTCCTTCCTTCATTTTGGGGTTGGGTATTTTTCCCAGCAATGAGAAAAGAGTAACTGAGATAGGTGATAAATTCTTATAAATCTGGGATCCAGCTATGATGTGCAGGTTTTTCCTTGGAAGTTGCTCTTTCAGAGGTTACAGAGCCAAGTAATTGGACATTTGCTGTTATCTCGTTAGGGATAATACTGTGAATAAAATGTTTTTGTTTTCCTAAATGTCCATTCAGTTCACTCAGCATTTTTTCAGTAATAGTGCTTTAAAGTAGTAGTTTGCTAGAATGTTGATGCTTTTTTTCTAACCTCTAGATATTAAGTACCTGTGAGCATTAACTTGAACAGCCTGTAATTAATGAACAAGCAAGGTGTGTTGTTTAGTAAATAAATGTAATTATAGTTGGTATTTGATGCTTCCAGTAAAACACTATAAATGAGTCTTCTAAGCAGTGTTTTAAGAGCCAGTATGACTGCTGGTCTTTAATTAGTATATGATACATTCTTAAGGCAAGAGAGGTTCTGTTTAAGTATTTCCAGAAATTTGAGAAAACCATTGAAAAACCTTAACAACTGGCATTTCTCTGTTATGTGTAGGTTTCCCAGGCAGCTGCGGACTTAAAACAGTTCTGCCTGCAGAATGCTCAGCATGATCCTCTGCTGACTGGAGTATCCTCAAGTACAAATCCCTTCAGACCGCAGAAAGTCTGTTCCTTTTTGTAGTCAAATGAATTCTTAAGAGGTAAGTTTCTTTAAGAAAAATAACTCACTAGTGGGAATAAGCACTCATGTCTTTATTTGCAGCAGTCACAAGATCATTCCATGCATTTCTGTTTGGTAGACTTAAGTTGCAATCTTAAGGAAGGGACTGATGAAGATTCTTCAGTAGCCATGAAGCAACTGTTTGTCATCACAAAGACGGTTAAATAAAGACTTAGTAACTATAAAGGGAATAAGACAGTGCTGCCATGTGTTGTTCTTTATAGCATTGGCCTAGTGGCATGTATATTTTAAGAGTCTCAAGTACTAGTTTTTTGTTTTTTTTTAAATATACCTAGCAAATATGTAGACAGTGTTTACTGAGATGACTTAGGGCAATACCAATTGATTTGAATTAATTTTTACGTTGCTGTTATAATAGAACTCGGCCATAGGATAGTATAGCACAAGGTTGAGAAATGTAATTCGGAGGATACTGGAACAAGCCGATGTGCAGCACTTGGAGTGAGGAATAACAAGTTATCCTTTTTATTCTAATATTTTGGGCAGTGATAAGACATGAGAAATGTGAAGTTCATGATGGCAGAGTGGACTGCACTTCAAAGGACTTGAAAAACTTAATGATTTGTACTAAAGCATGCTTCTGTGTATTGGGTGTTAATTTTCAGATATGCCAGGTGTGCATAGTCTTGCTTGTCCAAGAGATAGGACCAATAAATGTGCTTTGGACAATTTAAAATGCAATTCAAAGATGCTGTCTTTTTGTAATCTTTTGTATTTAGGGTGTGACTAGTATTAAAGTATGAGAAGCAAACTACTAGTGCTTTCAAAAGGGGTTTTGCATATGGCACACACTAGGCCTTGAAAACCTTAGGAAACTGTGTCCTAAAATACCTTGTTACCTAAATGTGCCCTCCCTAAGCTTTGTAGACTCCAGTGTGTCCAGGAAGTACAATAGGCTTCCAGTACACAAAATTGATTAAGATGGCAAAATATTTTGAAACACCTAAAGAATCCTTTTTCTTTGAACAAGTTTGCTATAGTTAGCTATCCTTGAAATCATATATATGTTTGTATTTATAGTTCACCTATCATTACTAAGATAAATTTTTAGAAGCAAAATTAGCATGGAATGAATATGTAAGGTTTTAAAAAAACTTAGAAGTCACTGTCAATGTAAAACTTTGGTCTTCCACCAGGAGTGGAGTGCTTTTTTGCCAAATGCTTGCTAAACCTTTGTTTGACTGCTATTACTTTAAGTGACAAACTATTTGGATGTTTTTCCCCCCATAGCAGTAATTTTGTTTGTACCCCTTAAATTTGTGAACTGCCTCAAAATTTCAAGTAAATACCTGGATTAAATGATTTTATACCATGTTAATTTTAAAATATAAAACATCATACTCTTTGCTTTTCAATTCAGACAATTATCAAGTTGGTATGACAGTTTTTACTTTTTACTAACTATACTTACTATAATTTAAACTGTAATGTTTTTGAAGGCATAAATGACCTAGATTTTTTTTAGTTTTGTTTATCCATATTCAATTTTTAAATATCTTTTTTGTTAGTCTTTTTTAAAAATTTGGTATAGTATTTTGCTACGCAGCTCAGACTCATAGTGCTTCTCCTATCTCTGCTTCCCCAGTGCTGGGATTATAGGCGTGCACCGCACCAGGCCTAGTTTCAGTAGCTGGCTAGTTGTCCAGGATTCTGGGGCGAGCACTGCATGTGGTACCAGGAATTGAACCAGAGTCCTTGTGTTTGCCAGGCACGTGCTCAGCCCATTGAACTGCCTCCCCAGCCCATTCATTATTATTGTTTTTGGGATATAATTTCTCTGTGTAGTCTAGTAGGCTTGAACTTGCAGTTTGCCTACCTCATGCTTCCAAATGGTGGTAGGGTTATAGGTGTATGTGACATGCACAGCTTATTTTTCAGTAGTCTAAACTGCTGTATAATTTGTATTCTATCATACACACAAACCTTACTCATTCCTGTACTTAAGGTTGTTTCCACCATGCTTTTAAAACTAGTCATTATTCTTATACATGCATTGATATAGTCTAAATTTATCTGGTACACAGAATTGCAGTCATATTGGCTATGTCATGAGTTATTTTGCCTAGCTCCTTGATGTTACTCCTTTTAAAAGAATGTCCATCCTTTTCTCGAGTTCAAACTTCTATGTTAATTTTATGAAAGAAAATGTTTTGCACTTATCTTAGCAAGTTAACTTAAGTCTTATTTGTAAAACAATGATAGATATTTCAGAGTGGCTATGAAAACTAAGAGCAAGTTGGGTTTTTCTCTTTGGTACTGGGTATTTAGCCCAGTACTGAACTCTGACTTTTGAGATAGGGTCTTCCTGAATTGCCCAGGCTGGCTGTGAACTTGCCTTAAGCCTCCCCAGTAGCTGGATTACAGTTGTATACCCTCATGCTGAGTGGTAATGTTGGATTTACTGCTTCCTGTACCAGTACAGGATTTTCCCATCCTATTTCTTAGGCTTTCTGAAAATCCCTATTAAGTATCTGCTATTTAAAAATGCAGAGAAAGAGGGCTTAGTTTAATTGAAAATCTCAATAAATTCTTTAAAAATTAATACTGATGCACCTAGATTTATAAGATACATCTCAGTAAAGTGTTAAGTTCAAAATACATTTAGTACACCTAAGTTACCAAAATATAATACCTTAGCAACACAGTATATAATGGATACTGGCTGCTGACCCTGTGATCATGCAGCGGACTGGGGGCTGTGGTATGCTCCCCCTGCCAGCATCTCCAGTGCCATACTTAACAGCCCAGCCCAATTTGAAGTAGTTTCTTCAAATATATACTGAAGGTATACAGCTTTTATAGTATCATAAAGTGGAAAAATCTTAAGTTCAGCTATTACTGGATCAATGAATATCTGTACAAAATAAGCTGTTATTAAAAAAAGGCAACCTTTTATTTAAAAAATTGAGATATAGAAAAATGCAGATCAAATAGTTACCAAAAAATGTAAGGAAAACCTGTATTCTTTGACACTTCACACTAATTTATCTTTTTTTTTCCTTTTCAGTTTCCCAGACCACTTTTAACCAACCAGTGACTATTCAGAAAAAGAAAATTGAAGCCTGTACAACTTCCCCTTTCTTAACATGTGCCATAACATACAAACTTCTACTTTGTCAGTCCTTAACATCTACCTCTCTGGATTTTCATGAATTTCTATTTCACGAGGGTATTTTATATATGCTGGTGCCAACATACAATAAAATACTTAGTATAAAAATTTTGTGACTTCTTACTGCCTTGAAATATACTGTCAGTTTGTTGGGAACACCTCGTGCTTTTAGTGTTTAAATTTTGTTTCTTTTGCCAAGTCTTTATGACTACGCCCTTCATTTGTAAGACTGCTAGAAAAGTAAGTACCAGGTGTAGTGGTGGACACCTGGTGTCCTAGCACTCAGGAGATGGAGGATAACTGACAACTTGAGGCATCCTGGACTACACAGTGAGTTGAAGGCCAGCCTAGACTATATGACAAAGCCTCATGTTTAAACAAAATAAAGGAAAGCTACAGGTCATTCTTTTAAGGTTTGAAAGAAGCTATCTTTAGTATTTATTTGAATATAAAATACAGTGGTACCTCAGTTCATGAACTTAATTCTTTTCATGATTCTGGTTGCAAACCAAATTGGAACAACCAATTGAACAACCACTAAATCAATTTCCCCATAAGATCAACATTGACCCTAACTATTGAATTTGATTCAGTTGCCATCCAATTTGGTTTGTAACCAGGATCTTGGAAAAAATTAAGACTGTGAACTGAGGTACCACTGTATAATCCTTTGTGGTGTATTACCAGTTACAACCCCTTAAACTTTGTAACATGCTTTTGATCTAATAAGTATGGTAACAGAAAAGGCTGGTAATAAATTTTTTTTTAGAAAAAGGAAAACCAGATACTGTCTAAAAGGTATACATTGTAGTAACACATAATGAAGTAAAGAGAATCTTTACCTTCACAAACGTCAAACTTTGCTTCAAGTCTTGTTCAAAGTAACCCTTTTGAAAAGCTTTAATCTGATGTCAATTTTAATTAAAACTATTTGTGCCAAACACTGAGTCTAAAATCTATTAAATCAGAGGTCACATGGTATCTATAGCCTTTCTCATACACTCTGAAAATGAAAGTAGGGATATAAATTTTAATTTCAAAATAACCCTAAAATAAAACAAATTAAGAAATCTAACACCTTTTAAACTGGCTGCTTTCTACTTGATACAGAGTAGCAATTCATGGCACTTGGGACACTTGTTCAGATAAAAAATTTACTAAATCCTTTTTGAAAAATTTTGTTGATAACAGGGTTTCACTATGCACTTCAGCACTGGGATTATAAGGCTGTGCTATCACACCCGGTTTTGGAACAGCACAGCATGTGATACTGAGGATTTAACTCAAGTCTTTATGCTTGCCAGGCAGGCGCTTACACCGCCGAACTCTCCCTAGCCTACTAAATGTTATTTTGAAGATGGTGTTCTCTCAAAAAGAATTTACCAAGTTCAAGATAGGCCTGTTCAACAAAATCTAGTATTTATTTCTATAGTACTTTATAAATGGAATTTTCTTCGACTTGTATCCATTTCCCGGGGCTGAAATTAGAAGGGAGAAAAAATTATTACAAATAATTTAGTTAACATAGTAAAAATTAGCTTTTTTAGGTCTTCATGCTAAAAAACAGTCTGTCTCTGAGGCCCAAAATAAAGTCTTAAGCCTAATAAAAAGGTGTTGGACATTATAATTTTATAGTAAAAATGTTTCAAAAGTATGTAATGCTACTTAAAAATAGTTTTTTCATTTGTGATTTAACATGATCTTCCAAACCTGTATGAATCTTTCATAGCAGTAGTTTTTGGGAAACACTAGAATCACATTGGAAAACAGCATGGTGAGCTCTACCCTAGATGATTTTGTGGGTCTGGCCCCCAAAAGTCCTAGGTGATGTTGTTAGTTCTACTTTGGTAACTTTATGTTTATGCTACTTAACATAGGAGGCAGTTAATCACCAGACCCAGAGAGCTTATCACAGTGGTGGTGAACCAATGGAGGTTTTTTTTACTACAAATGATGGTAACGTATGGGTTGTGTTTTTCTAAAGCAAAGCCTCAGCATTTAGTTTTAATTACAGTTGCTGGCACTGTGAAAAATAAGTGGATTCTGCGATAACCGTTTGGGCACTCTTAGATAAGAGGTTTGCCATCACTGTGTTGTCATATTGGTTCTTTACAGTTCATGGGGGAAGAAATTCACAAGCAAGCTTAAGGTATAAATAACCAATGTTTAAAGCACATGGTAAAAAATAACATTGGTCACTATGCACTTTAAAAACTACTTACATGGATTTTCAAATGGTAAGCACATACCTTATGGACCCATTCATACTCTCCGTATTTAGAATCAAAGGTTCCTTTCTGAAGAGATCTTAATTTTAAGGTAAAACGTGGTCCAAGTTCTTGAATTCCCACTTTCTTTTCACTCTTGAATATGTACCTTCAAGAAGAACAGTTACCTAGACCAATTTCCTTTTGACAAGGCTTATCAAAATATAGCAGACAACAGGGTCATGCTGAAAACATTTCATGATCTCAGTCCCAAGTAATTATGTTTCTCACCTATGAAATCTGAAGAAAATGTAATCCCTCTGATTGTGGAATGTGGCAACCTGTCTTCCAATAAATTGAGGATTGTGGGGAAAAAGAGAAGCAAACATACGTCCAATTGAATGACCCAACCTTGTTGTAAAGTTATTCAAAATTATTTCAGGTACGTGTTCTGTTGGGTCCTTGCCCCTTCTCTAAAAAAAAAAAAAAAAAAAAAAAAAACACACACACACATTGGTAAAACAAATCACCTTTCACACAATTTCATACCTTTTATGAAAGTTAGAAAAGTTAATACTTTCAAAACTATCACATGGTTTATTAAACAAGATAAAGATGTACATTTTAATATTGCACCAGAAAGTTCTATAAAACACAATTTATAGTAACAAGGGCTATTGCTTGTCTCCCATAATTCAATCACAGTGTCAAAAGAAAATTCAGTAGGTAAAACTGGCTTTAGTCAGGAATGTTATTAAAATTGGCTAGCTATATAAGATAAAGCACATTAAGTAATGTGAGATTACTAATCTAGTACTAAAACTTACCTTAATTTCTTTTCGAAGACGAACACTGCTCATTTTAAAATGAGCAGTTGGACCATTTGGCAAGTGACTCAAAATAAGTCCATCTGTTCATTAAAGTTAAGATGCAGCAAACCGTGTATCTTAGCTGACCAAAAACTTGCACTTGTTTGAAATCAAGGTTAGTTCTTCTCAAATTCTTACTCTTAGATTTACTATATACCACAAGTTATAACCAGTCAACCAAATAATATCTATTATCTACCATGAACAGAGAACTATATGCTTTTTAAAAGGCTGCAAGTACTTTACAAAGTCTTTTCTGGAATAGTCAAGTAAAAGATTTTAGTTTGATATGTTAATCTGCTTAATCCAAATTATAACTCATTAACCACAAAATGTCACGTTAATAAGCCAGTTTTTGTCTTTTAATTTCCATTTTTACTTGTAGTGAATAAATGTATTTAAGTATTGGAAATAATAAAAGCAATGGGTAAAATGTAGCCTTTTAAAATAATTTTAAATAATTGGTGTTCACTGACAAAAGAACATTTTTCCTGACAAAAGTCCTGTTGTTTAATTCCTCAACTTTTTAACAATTTTTATTCAATCAATCATCTTTAAAGTTACTGTATCATAGCCACTAGTTAATAAAACAACAGTAAACATTTCAGGAATCTGAAACAGTATCGTTGGGTAGCATGGGCTCAGATTCCTGCTTCAGACTCCCAATTCTCTGACACCAGCAGTGCAGCACAGCCAGATCGAAGCATTCGCATATCCAGCCGAGTCAGCCCTTTCATGCCACCCCTCTTCAACAGCTGTCGTCTGCACTGAGGCTCTGGCCTTGGCAGTCTCCTTGTTCACCCCCTTACGCCCACTTAAGTGTCTTTCTATGTGAAGTTCTTCCTGATATACTCAGGGAAGGGTAGACCAGCACAAGGTTTTATTATATGTTGTATTCTTAATTGTTCCATCACCTATATTTTGTTAGTTTATATGTTTGTTTATGCTGAATTTCCTAAAGGCTGATTCTTTCATTCTACATCCTTCGAAAGGACTAATACAATGTCTTAGCTATAAATGTGCTTCCTAAAAATGAACACTGAATAAAAAGGGGGAAAAAAACCCACTTTATAGAACTGTGTATGGAAATACGTATTTTTTGAAGAAAATTATGTTCTGGGTGTCAATTTTAAAAGGGTGAGGGGGGCTGGGGAGATAGCTCTGGAACATAAACACCTGCGTGGCAAGTGCAAGATACTGAGTTCAATACATGATACCCCCCCCCCCCAAAAAAAAGGCCCTAAAAGGGGTGAGGGAAGGGATAGAAAAGCTTCTTTAATTAAAAAGGATACTTGGTGTTTTACGATCTTCATTAACTACAATTAGATCAGTGAAATCTCTTGAGATGCATTGTGGAATAATTTTTTTCAGAGCCAGTCCTCTTCTATAATAAACATGTGAGTTGGGTATAACTGTTGAGAGCTGCTGGCAGAGTTTTACTGTTCTCTGTAAAACAAAACAAAATTCTCAAAAGTAAAAAATAAAACACTACATGGCTTATATTCAAATGACTATTTTTAATAGGAAGACTGGGGGAAAATGAAAATTTTAAGTGTTTCATTTCTTATCAAAGACTGATTATCTTAAAGCTGAGTGATTCTCTTCTTCCAAATGAATTGAAAAAATTACAACATAGCAATCTATGTGCACCCATGTTTACAGCAGCACAATCTGTTATAGCTAAATCTTAGAAACCCAAATGCCCGTCAACTGAGGAATGGATAAAAAAGATGGGGTATTTTTACACAACAGAGTATTACTCAGTTATAAAAAGATAGATTTAAAGCTTTTATAGGTAAATGGATCTAACTAGAGACCATACTCATAAGTGAAATAAATCAGACTTGCATCTGCAATTGTTGTATTGTCTTGCTAGTGTTAAGAACCTGAAAGAGTAAATAAAATCTGAAAGATACAAAAAAAAAACCTACGTCAAAAAACATCACCCCAAAAACCGAGTGATTCTCAACCATTGTGTTCTACCAAGAGAAATATGGCAACACACAAGGATATTTCTGTGGTTACTAAGGCAAGAGGCTGGGGATACATGTAAATCCTATGATGAACAGGTTAGCTCATCCTAACAAAAGACTGCCCAGCCCAAAATGTGCTGAGCCCAAGAAACTCATCTTGAAGAATCATGCTTACAGAACCTCTTCCCTATCAACAGTTCATTTTTATTTAGCTTATTCACAGGCATTAAAGCAATTAACTATTTAACTCTTCTGAACAGAGTACCTGAAACCAGAGAACAAAAGGTAATTAAAAATTTAAAAACTATATTGTATTAATCTATTTATTACCCCATGGGGTCTATCTGATGTTGTGATGAGAATCTTGGGAGAAGTTTCTCTGTTGAAGTAAGGAGCAAATTCATCTGTAGATTCATCATAAGCAACCTGAAAACAGAAGATGTAATTTTACATCAAACAAATACTGGATCTAACTACTGGCACCAACTACCTAGCAGACAGCATCTGAAGACTGGAGAGCGACTAATGTTAGTGGCTACCTGAAGAGGCTCAATGATTCTTCCTCTCAAACACAGGAATAAAGCTAGATAAAACTATCAATAATCATTTTAGTACATAAACAGATACGTTTATTCTTGAACAATGGCTATAAAATAAGCAAGAATATCAGGGATTAGCTTGGTTGGTGGAAACTTTATCAACTTCAAGGGGTGAGAAGTAGCAGTCCTGGGTTGGTCAGGTGGAGCTGTAGCACCCCACAGGTGTGCCAATCCAGGTTTGTAAATGCAGGTCAGGGCCAAGTGTGAAACACCCGAAAATTTAAAGGGGTGCTCTGGAAGCCAAAATCCATAAGCTCTCCACTAATCCATAGCTGACAACTACCTTTACAAGTGTGTTGGAGGAGACCTGAAATGCACTGAATGTGAAAGGCAAGGGAGACGTGAGAGCTGGCTGTCACAATGCAGGCACTCCTCAGTCCACACACAGCTCAGCTGGCAAGGATGTTTCCAGGGCCTGAAGTAGGTCAACAATCTGTCCAAACACTGGGTTACCATTAATCCACACAAACACAAGAAAGATCCTAGGGAAATTAGTTAAAAGTAATTTAAAAACTGAGTGGAGTCACAGTGCTACTGTCAGGGAAACAGGCTATATAGTTTAAGTCCACAAGAACTACTAAGACAACAAAAACTCTTACCAAATAAAGCAGAATGCAGAGATGCTGCAATGTGTTGTATAAAATGACTAATTTTCAACCAATTATAATAATAGATTTATTAGAAACAAAGAAGCATGATAAATGATCAGGGAAAAAGCAGACAATAGTTGCTGAATGAGTCCAGATGCTCAACTTAGCAAACTTCAAAGCAGCATTATTTAATATATACAAGGATTTAAAGGAAATATAAACTAAATAGACAATTTGACATGGCAGAAAAATCAGTAAACCTAAAAATTGACTAATATATACAATCCTGACTGCAGAGAAAATTAAAAAGAAGAAAGGAAAGATAAATCTTGGCCCTTCTACATCCTGCTTGGGATTTGCTGAACTTTGTAGTTCTGTATTTTTCTGACATAAGTGTTTTCAGCTATTACTTTTTCAAATGTTTTTCTGCCCCTTCTTTTTCTCTGGGAGTTCCCTTACATATCCTATTAAAATGTTTGACATCATCTTACAGCTTTCTCCAGTTTGCTGTATTTTCTGTGATTATTTTACACACATAAAACTGCAAACCTCCTCTTACTCCAAGTGCTCCTAAATTTTCTCTACTCCTTTAAACTAATACCTACTAGCATGTCTAATTTATTCTATGTTTATTTTCTTCCTTTCCTTACTCTTTCCTTCCTCATGTGTATGTGTGTGTGTTCCAAGTCACTAAAACAGACATCACCCAGTACATAGCACACAATATCTGTGAGAAGACTGATTGCCTCAATGAACAATACTGGAAGATATGTGAAAGAATAATGATAGCACTTACTGTTTGAAAATAAACATTACAAAATCAGGTTTCCATTGTGAAAATTGTTTTAAATATTGAAATTATAAAGCCTTCATGTACTGCTATATTATAAACTATTTAAAGAGAAAACAGGGGGCCTGGGAGATGGCTCAGTAGGATAAGCGCTTCCCTGGCAAGCGCAAGGGTCTGAGTTAAATCCCTGGTTCCGCAAGAGAGAAAAAAAAAAAAATAGAGAAAACATTCACAGTAGATGAAACCAAGAGTTCATATGCACAGAAAAATATCATTAGAAGTTATCGTTTGGTATCAAAATACCTAATTCTATAAAAATTTATAGAAAGCTTTCATTTTAATATATTAAACATAGAATTCACAGATTAAATGACAAATGTAAAAGTTTACCTAGTCAGAGCATTGAATGCGTTGGTACAAAGTACTTACTGTATGTTTGGGAAATCAATTATGAAGTAATGTGACAAATATGGTACTATGCCTGCCAACATTATGGCAGGATCTACGGCACACTACACTGGCTCTGCCAGCCAGCGCCATGTTAATGTTAAAGCATGGAACTTATTAAGGGCAATCATTCAAATTCATTTACGACTTCTTGCATTACCTCCTCATCATTAGGGTCTACTGTAGTCTCATCATAGACTCGCTGGTTGTCGATAGTCTTTGGAACTGGTTTTGGTGGAGCCTACAGCAAAGAAAAAGGCAAGTTTTAAAGCATTTGTTATTTTACAATACATCTGGGGG